TATTGGTTGATTGTTAGGAGTTATTGAATGATCGTTTCAGCCCTAAATTTTTTCATTTCTCCTATATTTTTTCAGGCATATCCTGGGATTCGAACCCGCACTATCGCCCTACATGCATTCCCCCATACACTTCGCATTCATACCCATTCTTCCAAGTTGCTTCACGTTATGATCTTGCGTTTGAAAGCCCTATTTGAATATTGCGGCCAGCTGTATGTGGCCAGCTGTGTTTGATGGTACGATACGGTACGTTACAGATACGGGATAGCGCCAGGCGTGACACAAACAAACAAACAAACACACAAATACCAAACGAGAGAGCTTGGAAGCTCAGGGCCCTACGCTATGCTTTTATGCTTTTTTGCCTAGCTCATCGTACATGTTATAAGAACTGATGGAATTGTCTTTTTCCGTTCATTGGCCACATCACTGTATTGCAAAAACGTTTCAATCGGTTTGAATATTATGAGTTAGGCAAAAGTATTTGCAGAATTTGTTGCGGATTGTTGTTTCTCTAATAATCATCTACTTTTGTTTTGCTCCTTCTTTAATTTTTATCTCCTTATATTGTAAATCAACAAATTTTGGCCGATGAGAAATAGAAACCTCTCGATTAGAGAGGTTAAGATGCACGTTATTACCGACGTGACGCGCAGTTTCACGTCAAATTTGAAATCGATTTTTGCTCTCACATGCATCCATTGCTCAATCATGCATCATTTGCCTATATGACAAACGTTGGCCTGCGATTTACTTTGTCCGGTTGGTACCAAGCGGCGAAATCAGCGAAATTAAATCGCCAGCGAACATTAGTTGATTTTAATACAGGAATCGGATTTTCTGGCCTTTTTGTAGTAATACATCTACATTGACCTGTTGAGCCAATGACGACGCCGAATGCATGGTTGCCTGAGGAGCACATTACATAACTTTACAGTCTCCTAAAATACGTATCCTGTCCGACGGCAAAAGAGGCTGCAGATTTAGTTTTTTCTGCGCGTCGACGGGATGTCTGCGACGCGAAAGTTCAGCTCGCGTTATTTGGCTCGCACGTCGAAAAAATCAACGAGAGTGACCTGCTGCTCACGTCGAAATTTGGACATTACGTAACTTTACAGTCTCCTATATAAATACGTATCCTGTTCGACGGCAAAAGAGGCTGCAGACTTAGTTTTTCTGCGCGTCGACGGGATGTCTGTCCTGACGTTTACTGGGACCGGCGCTGACTCTGCCGATCACGGCGTTCTGGACTCGACGGGATGTCTGTCCTGACGTTTCCTGGGACCGGCTTAGACTCTGCCGATCACGGGCGTTCTGGACTCAACGGGATGTCTGTCCTGACGTTGCCTGGCACCGCCGGACTCTACCGACCACGGGCGTTCTGGAGTCGACGGGATCTCTCTTCCGACGTTTCCTGTGACCGGCACTGAATCGCTCGTTCACGCTTATTTTGGAGACGACGGGATCTCTCTTCCAAAGTATGTTTATGCTGACGCATCCTATCACCTTATCGGCGTCTATTCTAATTTAATTTCCTCCTCGTCTCCCTATTTCTTTCCAAATCCCACTCTACATCAGGGAGTCGTATGCATAATACGACGAATATTGGTACGGTACGGGACAGATACAGGAGCCCGCAAATATTGTGGACAGCTGTTATGTACAATCCTGTAGAGCCTTTGTAGTCACAGATACGGGACAGATACGGGACAGATACGGGATAGCGCCAGGCGCGACACAAACAAACAAACAAACAAACACACAAACAAACAAATACCAAATTAAAGCTGTGTGGACCCTGGCTAGCGCCAGACGTTACTGAAGTAACGTCTTCTGCATAGCTACGGGAATTAAAGCTGTGTGGACCCTGGCTAGCGCCAGACGTGACTGAAGTAACGTCTTCTGCATAGCTACGGGAATAAAACATATTGATAGCTAAAACATCAATCCATTCCAGGTGTCAAGTCAATATATTTTTTAGTACATGGGGTGGGGGGGGGGGAGAGGAGAAGGGTTATAACTGAACATTTTCGTTTCGGGAATATAATCGATAATGCCGGATGTCCCCTTAATGAACACAGGGATACTATAAAACATGTAATTTTAGGCGCATTAAATTTTCGGTGCCAGAGACCTGCCAGGTTTTAGATGTAATGTAGAATTAGGTGACATACAGTGCATACTCTGGTGCCTTTCAGGTGTAATTTAAATTTAGGTGCCTGGTTTCGCTACCGAAATCACCGAAATTAAAGTTACACCGAGAATTACATGTTCTACGGTACCTGTCTCTCCAGAGCTGTCGGTTGTGCTTGTACTGGAGTGACACTTGATTTTGGTATCCCTACTGATGCTCGGCCTTATAAAATTAATTTAAATTTCAGGGTTCGCGTGAGACTCGGCTGGAAGCCGAGTTTTCCGCATCCGCCGTGGGAACGCCACCACCCTCTAGGATCAAAGGCGCAGATGCAGCGCCTAAACGGTGGGAGGTGAGTAGATCAGA